AGGGGGGGAGGAGAGGGAGGGAGAGAGAGAGAGAGAGAGAGAGAGAGAGAGAGAGGGAGAGAGAGACAGAGTAATAAGGAATGATGAGAAGAAGAAAGGAGGTGAAAGAGACAATCACTGGTCCCCGTGGACAGATACGGAGCAGAGTGGATGTTGTCACGTGTTACCTCTCATTTATATGCTAATTTACACTATTAAAGAAAAGAGAAGGAATGAGAGAGAGAGAGAGAGACTCTCTCTCTCTCTCTCTTTCATAAATACCCTGTCTCTCTCTGTCTGAGTTGATTTTGTTGGAAACTGTTTTGGGTTTGAAACTGTTCTCGACTGTCCCTTAACTCATCGCTATCTGTGTGCCTGTTGTTTTGGGGGCCAGGGGAAAACGGGGACAAAACAAACCTGTAAGTGTTAGGAAATAAAGTGCGAATTTAGACCAAAGCCGTGGCCCGCGTCTGAGTTTTTGAACGGAAGGGATTTCCAGGTTTGTGTTGTGTCTTTTTCTATCAAACTCAGAGAAGGCAACAAGAAATCGTTGAGTCGATTATAATGTTTTACATTTAGTGAAACCGATTTTTATAGGCAACGTCGTGTAATACTGACGCCTGACGCTAGATGGCTCTGTTGCCCAGTTGTCTTTTTATCTGCCTGTAAGAAAGTTGTCTACATTTCTGCACAAAACTTTTGCTCTGACAAACAAGGTGCCAAAAAAAAAAAAAATCGCTGCTACTTTTTCCTTTTCTCTGTCCTCTGACTTTTTTCTTTTTTTTTCTTTTTTCAAAGTTGCTGACATGGCAGATTGAGATTCCAGCACATTCCTGCAGCTGTATATTCTGTGAGTGTCATCAGGGAGAGAGAGCGGTCCTGAATGATTCAGGGCAGCCTGCAGCTCCAGCCAGCAGGGGGCATGGATATTTAATGTGTTAGTGCTGTTGTTGCCCTCACAGGGGGCCTGAGTTTCTGCTGTCGCCCCCCCGCACACATTTACACCTCTGTGCTGAAGCAACACCACAGGCCTCCACCACACACACACACACACACACACACACACACAGGTCATGACCTCCTGCTCTGTCACAGATACTTAGAGAAACACAAAGATGGAGACGTTCACGTCCACCAACCCTCAAATGACTTTCCCTCCTGTCACCACAGCCACGGAGCGTGTGTGTGTGTGTGTGTGTGTGTGTGTGTGTGTGTGTGTGCGCAGAGACCACATACACAGGTTTCCACGGGCGACATCCAGAGGTTGCTGAGAGCGTTTGTCTGTGATGTCTTTTCCAGTTCTGCCGTCACAAAGACGCGTTTATTCTCCGACAGAACTCGTTATCAAAACACACTGATGGGGGGGGGGGGAAGGGGGGCAGGGGGGGAAGAAAGGGGGGAGGAGAGCAGGGGGGGGGCAGAAACAGGTCAGAACACACGGCTCCAGACTGTTGTGTTCGTTTGTCAAACTAACATCAATAACAACCGTCTCACTGTCAACACACGTCAGGACGAGCATCGTCAGAAGACAGTCAGAAGACAGCCAGAAGACAACCAGAAGACAGTCAGAAGACAATCATCAGACAGTCAGAAGACAGTCAGAAGTGAGTCAGAAGACAGTCAGAAGACAACCAGAAGACAGTCAGAAGACAGTCAGAAGACAACCAGAAGACAGCCAGAAGACAGCCAGAAGACAGTCAGAAGACAGTCAGAAGACAACCAGAAGACAGTCAGAAGACAATCATCAGACAGTCAGAAGACAGCCAGAAGACAGTCAGAAGACAGTCAGAAGACAATCAGAAGACAGTCAGGAGACAGTCAGAAGACAGTCAGACTCAATCAAATCCCAGAGAGAAAAAATCAGGGATAAAGGGAAACAGCTCCTTCCGCCTGTTCAGCTAACGGACCACGGACCACCATTTGAGTACCACTGATTTAGACCAATTAGTAAGCCAAGAGTGGTTGGACTCTAAACCCTGGTCTGGTCCTAACACGGACCGCGGGCCTTCGTCTAAGACGTTAACCTGAAAATTAGAATCACGTTTTATAAAAAAAAATGGAGCTAATTCGCAACATTAGCGACACCTAGTGAGCTGGTTGTAGACTAGATACTGAGGTGACGTCAGAACCACTTCAGCTGCTCGTGTTCAGAACACGTGGAATAATCCTTTAAAATGTGGCGGCGCGGCAGGGACAATATTTCTCCTTTTATTATCATAATACGTCAGTGTTTGTGACGAGCGAACGCTGCTGTGTGTAACTATAGTGACGGTCCCTAAGAGGGTCCAGATGGATTTGTTTAATAAAGGAAAATAAGATGTTTCTGTTTCTAAACTCTGGTTTATGACCTTTAATTGATCAGTAACAACTCGGAGGAGAGAGAGAGAGTCCAACTGGAACATAATCAGACAAACGTCCTGTTGGTTCAGACGTCGGGGGTCGAGCGCAGGTCACAAAATGAAACTGGGGAACGTGTTTTTCACCGAGCTCAAACTGTGGTTAAAAAATAAAATAAAATAAAATAAAATCCTCCAGGAGTTTGAAGTTAAACGGGAAAAAAATGTGAGTCATTAGTCGTTGGTCAGGATGTTGACGATGACTTGGTGGTCAACAGTAGGGAGCGTTAAAAAGACTGAAGAAGAAGAAGACGAAGAAGACGAGTTCCTGCCGGGTGAGGAGCTGGTGTTTAACCTCGAGGATCTTCACTGGAACTAAAACTCCTCCAACGGAAACTTGTCATAGAATCAATAACAGAAGAATTGGATTAACAACGAGTTTGATCTGAATAATTACATCCAACGGCGACGTGGTTTCACCTGTTTCACCTGTTCATGTTGACAGTTCTGTGTTCTTTATTTAAATGAGTCTAATTAAAGCTGCGACCATTAAATGTAGGTGGTAAAAAAAAAATAAAAAAATAAAATGAAGTTTGGATTTTATATTTCCACTGAAGTTGAAGTGTGAAAGTACTCACCCTTCAAATACTTTCATCAACTCTGTAGCACCTGCTGGAGTAAAACTGCGCCGGAACTGAAAGAAAAAGTACAAAAAGTACAAAAAGTACAAAAAGTACAAAAAGCAGTTTCTATTTAAATCCTGTTTAAATCACAAAAAAGAGAATGAAGAAAAACACGCCCGTGTGTGTGTGTGTGTCCGTGTGTGTGTGTTTAACACATTTTCGCCGTGACTTGAATCACATTCTGTCCAACAGTTTCTAAGGTGTGTGACAGTCGACGCCTGTATCTACAGTCAGCTTCAAACTTCAACCCTCGTCGTCGACTTAAAGGCACATTTCCACCTCAGAGATAAACCTGTTCCCAGAGTTTAGTGGCGACACGGAACGAAAAGGAGAGAAAGAAATAAAGGCTTTCACGCACAACAACAGGAACAGATGTTTCCTTCAGAGCTGAGGAGACGACGCACGTTTGTATTTTCACACTTAAGAAAATAAACAACCAGAAGCAGAAAGTCAATTTCCCGACTCTTTTCTTCTTTTGTCATTCCTCGCTTCTCCTTCTTCCTGAAGTTTAACTGGATGTTTGAGGCGACACGGCTGCGGTGTTTATCGGTGTTGTTGTTGTTGATGTTGTTGTTGTTGTTGTTGTTGCTGCAGATAAACAGCTGTTTGTGTCAAACACCTGGATCAACACCTGGATCAGTTTTACTCAGGATGAGAATGAGGATGATGATGATGATGGTGATGATGGTGATGATGATGATGATGAAGATGATGATGATGATGAAGATGATGATGATGATGAAGACGACGACACTGTGTTTTCAGTGGACAAGACTGAGAAAAGTTGAAAATCTTTGTAGAGGTCGCTGTGAAATTTGGAATCATATATTGAGGATATGACACTTTATTAACTGTTATTAATCAATTTTGTCACAAAATACCGATTTGGTTCATGACGTGTTTGTGTGATATTGTTTTTCACTGGAGATAAAAACGTTTATTTGCTTTTTAAGTTTCAAATATAACAGCGTTATAAGCGTCATTAACGTGAATCTTTTGTGACCTGTAAAAACAATTAGACTTAATTATGCTAATCAGGTCACGCGCAAACAAATCAATGTTAATTCACGGCTAAAACCATCTGAGTTTTTATTTTTTTTACTAAAAGACTAACGTTACATTTAACCGCGTGTCTCATTAACCCGGAGTCCGTCACAGGCCGCGGTTCTTCCCTCCGTGAATGACTACGGAGCTAAAGCTGTCAGTGACAAAACACAGCAAATGCTGCCATCTGGTGGTACAGAAACGACATCTTTTCTAGATACTTTTTCATCAATGTCGTTTTTAGAAATTATAAAATGCATTTTAATTGTATGCTACAAATATAAATTTATTGTTTTATATAATATAAAATATTTGATCATTTCTCACCCAAAAAACTTTGGTTTAATCACTTAATAAGAGCTTAGAAAATCAATTGTTAAAATATAAAAAAATTAAGAATAAAGAAACTAATGCTGTGTTTTTATAGAATACTGTCAAATTTATTGTAGCGCAAAGATTAATACCACATTTTTAAAATAAGACTTTAGTGAGAATTAACTTTAAACAACGTTGACATCTGACCAATAAAACTAAGATTATAAAGAAAAACAAATCACATTAGTGCTTTTTAACAGACGCAGACAGGTGAAAAATACAAACCCTGATGAAATATGAATTTTATAAAAGTCCAATATGGACCAGTTCTCACACACACACACACACATGACGAGGCAGCGATCATTATAAAATGCCCATAAAAAGTGATTGTTAAAAAAATAAAGGTTGATGTCAACAACGACTGCAGATGATTTGAACACGTTTAAAAACTTTTTTTTAAAAATATCTTAATATAGTAGTAAACACACGTCTGATGTGGTTCAGTGTGATGAATGAGATTTGATCTTTAGAAACTGTTGACCACTGCGTTAAACACTGAAACAAGTGGCGTCTTTAGTTCCTGTCACTGCATGATGAAGGTTAAAAATTAATGAATATGTAAAAGTCATAGTTTTGATAACTTAAAAAAAAATAAAGCTGTATGTTTGGTTTCTATAGTAACAGTTTCTAAAATCCCCGTTAAAACAAAGTAAGACTAAATGTTTATCTTTGATCTGTGACTGACAGAACTCTGGGCTGAAACTCCAACAGAACCAGAGAAGGTTAAAAACAGAACCTTTCTGAGGCGTTTCCAGCAGCAGCGACGTCGTCGTCGTCATCGTCGTCATCGTCGTCATCGTCGTCGTCATCGTCGTCATCCTTCTTTCTTGTTTCTCCAGGGAAACAGAGACTTTTTCTTTGGTTTGTCCTTCTTTACATCTAAACAAACACAAGAAAACAACAAGGAGAGAATTACATTCACGATGGATGGATGGATGGATGGATGGATGGATGGATGGATGGATGGATGGTAACGACCAATCAGTGACTTGATGATGAACAGAGACTAAAAAGGTTCAAACTTTCACTCGCGGTGACACAACAACCTCACGCCTGCGTTCCATAAATCTCCAGGATTTCAGGCGTTCTCTCACGTTCATGAATTGCAAATGAAGGCGGTTTAAACCGGCGGCTGTTAGAAGGTCGAATTAAGCAGCTAACACCATCCATTTGTCTAATCGAAGGGAAAAAAAAAAAAAAAAAAAAAGAAGAGGAGGAGGAAGGCAGCATTTGGTTTGGTGTTTTTTTCCATTAGCAGTCATTAGATCAAATGAGACCAAAACATTACCCAGCGGCACCTTCAGGGAAAAAAATGCAGTGCAGATTTACGAACACACCCTCACACACACCAACTTCCATGAACCACGATGCTAATGGTGTCTGCTTTAATTAGCAGCAGTGATGGACGTCCTGCTCTGGTTGTTTACACAGAGGAGGTCACATGATCAGAGCGGAGGTCACATGATCAGAGCGGAGGTCACATGATCAGAGCGGAGACACTCACTGAACGTCGTCATCATCATCTTGTTGAACTCCTCGTCCTCCTCTTCCTCCCTGGACGTGACACAGAAATAAAACAATTCTTGTTCATTTTTCACGGATTTTAATTCAACACCAGTTTTATTTGATGTAACTTTTAACACAGACGGGTTTAAAAAAAAAAAATTTAAAAGTGTGTGTTTGATATTTTACTGCGTTTGATAATACTATATCCTCTCATAAAAAATAAAAAATCATAAAATATTCCACACGTTAAACCTGAGTTCTTCTCAGTGCTCACTACTCCAGGCCTAGACTGCTGGGGGGAACTCCCATAAGAAAAACCAAAATCCTTTACACCAGTTGAATTCAGCAAATATATATGAACCCGTGCCGTGACCCGTGACCTGTGACCCGTGACCCGTGACCCGTGACCCGTGACCCGTGACCCGTGTCCCCCACCTGATTCTGTCCTCGTCCAGACCCTCCACGATGGCGTTTCTGTCGTTGACGATTCCCACCAGTTTTTCCATCAGCTGCTGCTCCCGTTCTCTGTCCCACAGTGTTTCCCCCCCCGGCTGCTGCCCCTCCAGTTCCTGAGTTTTCCCTCTGGACAAAAAAAAAAAAAACCATCAACAACAACATCAACAACGACGACAACAACGACAACAACAAAAACAACAACAACAACGACAACGACAACGACAACATCGACGACAACAACATCAACAACAAAAGCAGGTCATTATTCACACACTCTGGACCAGCGATGTGTTCTGTTTGTGTGGATCTTCACCTGGTTTCTCCATCAGTCTCCTGATCTCCTGCTCCACACTCGGCTGCTGCTCCTCCAGTTCCTGAGTTTTCCCTCTGGACAAAAAAAAACAAAAAAACATCAACAACGACGACAACAACGACGACAACAACAACAACAACATCAACAACAACAACAACATCAACATCAACAACAACGACATCAACAACAACAACAACATCAAAAACAACAACAACAACAACAACATCAACAACAATGACAACAACAACGACAGTAAAAACGTCATATTTACTCTGAGTATTTACAGGAAATATTTTTTTTAATTTCTGTTTAAAACCCTACACCTGGAATTAGTCTGAACGACATGAATTTGTCAACATTTAAACTCAGTTTAAAAAAAAAAAAATCATCAAAATGTTGAGACTTTATTTCATTTACTTTCTGTCGACTCAGATCCCGTTTAGAGGAAAAGTATTTCAACGTACAACAGTAACGGCTTCTACCTGTCTCTGATGCAGTACTCTGTACTCTGAGCTGTGTACTCTGAGCTGTGTACTCTGAGCTGTGTACTCTGAGCTGTGTACTCTGCTGAGCTGTGTACTCTGAGCTGTGTACTCTGAGCTGTGTACTCTGAGCTGTGTACTCTGAGCTGTGTACTCTGAGCTGTGTACTCTCCTGTTCCAGGACGTCCTGCTGGGGGCAGGAGGAGGGGGGACACTGGGAATTCAAACTGTCAACCTTCTGGCTACAAGTCTGTCCCACTGACCGCTGTGTCAGTCCACCCTGCACTCTGTATGTGTGTGTGTGTGTGTGTGTGTGACCTCACATGTAAACCAGTTCGGACTCCCGGCGAATGGCCACCTGCTTGTTCCTGATCAAGTTGAACCAGTCGACCATGAGCTCGTCCATGACCGCCTCGTCTTCACCCTCTGACACACACACACAGCAGACAGTGGAGTGAGTGTGTGTTGGTCCCAGTGTGTGTGTGTGTGTGTGTGTGTGTGTGTGTTCTCTCACCTTCCTCACTCTGACGCAGCTTCATCTCCAGCTCCACTCCCGTCTTCTCCAGATCGTTCAAACGATCTTCGATGTCCTGAAGTTCTTGGAGGATTTCCTCCGTGGGGATGTGGTCGGGCTTCACCTGCGGACGCCGGACAAACACTTTACTGGAGGCAGTGGTGGTCCAGAGTGACCCCCCCCTCTCTGCCCCCCACCAGGGTACTGTGTTGATCTGAGCTATTCTTTAGTCGCTGCTCTAGGCCTAGACTGCTGGGGGAACTCCCCGGTTAAACTGTGACAAATATATTTACACCATATTCAGTCAAATGTGTTGGTGCAGGTTTGGTACCTTCACAGTCTTGGACCCGGTCTTGGTTCCCGTGGTCTGAGCTCCTGCACCGTTCTGTAATCCTGAAGAAGAAGAAGAAGGAAAAAAAAAATCCACCAATCAGAGCGAGAGAACGACACCAACGTGACTATGTTTGGAAAAATGAACGACAAACTGAAATGTTTTTACCTTTCTGTGAAGGTGGAGTGACAGAAATGATGGGTGTAGAAACCCTGGGGGGCGGGGGCCCGACTGGGGTCTCTGTGGACTTGTTGGTCTGTGGTCTGTGGACAGAAGAGACAGCAGCCAATGAGAGTCAGCGTCTGCAGCGGGCAGGTTGTTAGTACGACGCCCCGTGTCCACGGGAGTCACGTGAGCGAGAGGACGGGTCATGGGGGGGCGGGGGGGCAGGGGTTGAACATATGCTGCTCCACAGACAACTGAACACAGTCACAACAGAAATACATGTGAGGAGACATGTGGACGAGCAGCAGGTCCAGGCGTCCAGTAGGGGGAGTGGTTGGAGACACGGATCAGAGGACGGATGGACGGTGACAGAACATCAGGGGACAAGAAGTCCTCGCACAGTCAAAGCTGCAGTGCATGATGGTTGGCTTCAAGCCTTCCTGACATCACACCGACTGTCTGAACCAGGGCTGTCAAACATATGGCCTGTGGGCCAAGACCGGCCCGCTGCGGGGGTTCAATCTGGCCCAGTTGATGAATTTTGAAAATGAAAAAAAAAAGTTCAAACACTTCATGTTGGTGATGTTTTGTCAAAATATATTTCACTAAATTTCTACAGAATCATCCCCCAAACGGAAATGAGTTTGACGGCCCTGGTCTACACCGTCCAGGTCGGACCCCGCCCTCGACCGCAGACTGCTGCGACCGCTTCGATTCTCAGCCGTAAAATGATGAGGAAGAACTCACTTTGTATCTTTGGCGACCGGTTTGAGCCTGGACCTCCAGTCTGCAGGAGACTCGTTCTCTGAGGCTGAAGAGAAACAGAAAAAATGAAGTGTTTTATTCCCTGAAAAGAGTTTAGAAAAGAAGAGAAAAGAAAACCTGGAATCACGGTCCACTCTGAAACCGATTTCTTTGATTTGATTTCACAGCCACGTAGGAGCACGGTCTAAGTTTGGACCAGGTTCAACAGGTACATGAAGTCGTGAACATGAGTTCGACCTGAGGCGTTGGGTGACGCTCGGCCAGGATTTGGACTTCCTCTCTCTGGAGTCCTGGCTCTCAATTTGCTTCGACTTGCTGGACTCGGAACAGGACTCGGTGCTGGACTCTTTCTAGCAGCTGAGGTTGTAGCAGGCGATGGAGAAGAGGCGGGAGCCGAGGCAGAGTCGGGCGTCTTGGTGTCCAGTGACTTCAGATCAGCCAGGAGTGAAGGGTCAGCCCTCAGCTTCCCCCTCCCCCTCCCTCCTCCTCCTCCTCCCCCTCCCCCTCTGACCGCAGCTGCCTCGTTCTTGGGAGTCTCCACCTGAGGCGGCCTGAGGAACAGTGGAGAAGAATCGTTACTGTCGTCAGTTCAAACACTTACCAGCAGAGGTCAGTGAAAGCGATGACTCACTTGTCAACTTTCTTCAGAGCTACAGTCGTCCAGGACGGCTTGTTGTTGTTCTTCTCTTCGCTCTTCTCCTCAAACAGCTTCTTGGAGATGAACGCGGCTGCAGCTGCTTTGGTCTCAGCGTCTCCCGGTTTCAAACCCACACCCTTCTCAGCTGCCCCCGCTGCCCTGGCTCCGTCTGCACCTTTGAACGGTTTCGGACTTAAGTCCCTTTTTCCCGCACCACCGACATTTACAACCACAGACACGGTCTGTCCTGCTGCCACCTCCTGGACCCCGCCCCTCGTCTGTCTCCCCGTCTTCATGTCCACGTTAACAGCCGACGTCGTCGTCTTCGTCTCTGTTTCTGAGCTGTTGTCCAAATCAAAGAACTTCATCTTGGACTGCACCGTCTTGGCTGCTGCGGTGGAGAGGGGGGGGGACGGGGGGGAGACACGGGGGGCCGGGGTGGACATGTTGGGGGCCGGAGAGACACGGGGGGCCGGGGTGGAGATGTTGGAGGCCGGGGTGGAGACACGGGGGGCCGGGGTGGAGATGTTGGAGGCCGGGGTGGAGACACGGGGGGCCGGGGTGGACATGTGGGGGGCCGGAGAGACACGGGGGGCCGGGGTGGACATGTGGGGGGCCGGAGAGACACGGGGGGCCGGGGTGGACATGTGGGGGGCCGGAGAGACACGGTTGGCCGGGGTGGAGATGTTGGAGGCCGGGGTGGAGACACGGGGGGCCGGGGTGGACATGTGGGGGGCCGGAGAGACACGGTTGGCCGGGGTGGAGATGTTGGAGGCCGGAGTGGAGACACGGGGGGCCGGGGTGGACATGTTGGGGGCCGGAGAGACACGGGGGGCCGGGGTGGACATGTTGGGGGCCGGAGAGACACGGGGGGCCGGGGTGGACATGTGGGGGGCCGGAGAGACACGGTTGGCCGGGGTGGAGATGTTGGAGGCCGGGGTGGAGACACGGGGGGCCGGGGTGGACATGTGGGGGGCCGGAGAGACACGGTTGGCCGGGGTGGAGATGTTGGAGGCCGGGGTGGAGACACGGGGGGTCGGGGTTGGCCTGCTGTTGATGGTGGTGGAGGTGGTTTCACACGTGGTTCTTGAGGGTGGGGGTTTGGAGACGGGTGGCGTCCGACTCTCTTTACCAGGGAACGATGGACCTGAAGCAGGAAGTGGAGGAGAAGACGAAGAGGAAGCTGTGTTGGACCACGATGACGGAGCGCTGGGGTTCTCCTTCCTCCATGTTGGTCCCAGTCTGGGTGGAGCCTGGACGGAGGTGGAGGTGGAGGTGAAGGTGGAGGTGGTGGTGGTTTTGGTAGAGTCTGGTGGAGGGGTGGGTTTGGGAAAATGAGTGTTTGTGGGTAAATTCCTGAAGGCTGTACTGGAGGCTGGAGGTGACAGAGACCTGAGGGAAAAAAAAACAACTTCTGGTTGTCATCAGGAGGCTGAGGGAACTGGAGCTCAGAACATTCTGGATGAAATCTGGGAGAAACTGAATTCTACCAGGCAGACAAAAATGTAACAAAAAAAAAAATTTTTTTTGACTATATTTTATAAATGATACAAAAATTTCTAACAACAAATTGTAAACAACGGAGTTCAGGAAAGAATCTTACTTTGCACAGTTCCTGTGATACAGCTTTCCGTCCACAAGATGTCGCTGCACTAGGTGAACGTGCTTGTCACAGGAAACACATTTGTTACTCAGTGTGCCCGTCTGATGTTGTCTGTCAGGGGGGGCAGGATCCTAAAAAGAGCAACAACAAAAAAAAATTATTTAAAAAAAAAATATGAACCGAGTTCAATATTTCTAATCATTAATAATAATAATAATAATAATGACTTAATGACTTTTTGTCATTATTCTAGTGTGTGAAGGACACAGCACCTTGGGGAAACTTCTAACTTGTTTTGGAGAAGATGAGGGGCGTGTGACGTTGGCGGCCCGGGGGGGGCTGTTCTCTCGGGCAGGTTTAGTCGGGGGGAACACCTTGGCGGTCACCGCCTGGTTCTTCTTCCCAGATGGTTCGTCAGTGGCGGCCTCTGCAGGACGCTTTATGCCCCCCATACCACCGACTGTGTGCAGACGTAAAGGTCATAAGGTCAGAATGAAGTCAAACCAGGAGAGACGCCGTCAGACACGAGGCACTCACTCGGGTTTCGTCCGTGGAAGTAGTTGTAGTACTGCGAGACGTAGGTCAGGATACTCAGGCGGTCGGGAACCTTCATGGCGACCATGTCTTCGGCGTCCAGCAGAGCGGGAATTCCCAGCTCCGCCTCCGCAACTCCGAACGCCTGCAGATGCAAATGAGTTCAGTTATCAGAGGAAACAGAAGCAGCAACAAGAGGAAGGAGTGAAACCAAACCGAGGGTCCTCGAAAAAATACAGTACGCAGGAATTAACCCTGAAGTAAACCACAGACTCAACAACATCATTTCAATGGAAGAATCCAGAGGTTTTCAATCAAACTTTTTGGTCATTGTACACTTTAAACCAGTGACGGGGGCAGGGGGAGGGGTGGGCTACACACACCTGTCCACCAGGGGTAGCTGAGACCTCAGTGTAAACATCCGTGACTTCCTCCTCTGTATAAACAACACATTTCCTTTCAGAGGTTCAAATCTGCCCACAGAGCAGATCTAGACTTTCATCTGGATCAGATCTGGAGCGAGTCTGGACTGGAGCGAGTCGGGACTGGAGCGAGTCGGGACTGGACTCTCATAGTTCCACTGAAACCTGGGAAACTGAACCCCGGACAAGCAGAGACAGGCCACGGAGCGGCAGAGGAAAAACCTCAGCACGGTCGTAAAATCAAGGTTGACCCTGGTGGACCATCGGTTACAGCCGTGATGGTGACACCTGGTGTCGGACTCAGACACATGGTCCTTCCTGACCTGGTGAAAGGTCATGGTTCTATAACCGGTCCACAGTGTCTCAGACCTTTCCTGGTATCCAACCCACTTCACCTGGTCCAGTGAGGACTAGTCAGCGTTGGCTCCTCTCTTTCTAACTCTGTGATTGTGAAAACACAGCTGTTACTTCACGTCCGTGACGCTGTTGAAAATCTCCGTCTACGTGTAGCAACACTTCAGGCCTGCAGGGGATCGTCTTGATTCAAACAGGTCTCTGCAGAATCAAATACCACCAGGTGAAAATAAAACATGTTACTGGTCTCTGTTTCACCATCGTGATCGTCACTGATCACTTCAACCACCAGCGCCACCTGCTGTTACAACATACATCTCATGGTCTGTTCCATGATGTCATCACTTGTTATTACGAAACCAAACTTCCACCCTGACATCATGTGACGTCCCATGATGCTCAGTGAACTTCCTGTTGACGTTTGGTGCAAACTGTTGTTAAATAAAGTATGAACTTCTGAGGTTTCAACGTTGACATAACGGAATCGGACGATACCATACGTGTCACGATACGATATATTGCGATAAATTGTGATACATTGCTCCATACGTGTCACGATACGATATATTGCAATAAATTGTGATACATTGCCGTGATAAAAATCAATCACTGATGGAGGATATTGATACGGTATCAGGAAATGAAATCTCATTACTGAACCAAACCACGAGTGTCTGAAGCTGAAACCAAAATATATTTGTTTATTATATAAACAGACTGTGATTTAACTACTAACCAGTGACTAGTGACTAGTGGTTCGAGTGTAAACAAACACCAGGCTGGTTGAACCACAGACACATCAGTCACATGACCTGTGTCTGACTGACTCCTCTCCTCGTCTGTCCATCATGTCCCACTGCTTTACTGCGTGTTTTCCTCTAAATAGGAGTGCTCCTGACACTGTGTTCTATGGAAGACCTGACCACAGGAACTGAGGTCACACAGGTGTGTGTCACTGACGTAACAAGGACTAGTCATTTTCTCATTAACTACCACTCCTTCACCAGTCTGGATTCTTCAACCATTTCTTAAAAATAATCTGTAAAATAATCTGTAAAATAATTCAGTCCAGAAAAACCAAACTACGTTCATAAAACTCCAGATTCCTCCCGTGTGTTTGTTCACTGATCAGGTAAGAAGTCGGTCAATCACCGGTTTTAAGTGAGAGTGAGGTGAGAAAACGCAGCCGGTAAACAAGTCTTACCAGTTTGTTGTTGTCGTAGACGTTTTCTTTCTTCAGCGAATCAAAATTACTGCAACAGAAAAGAGAAACAACAACAAACTGTCACTCAGTAAATCCTGCTGTTGACGTTGGTCAGAAACCAAAACCTGTTTTTTACACCACCACGGTATGTTGAACATCCATCACGACGTGTCAGTGTCACCGCCAGGTCACATGACCACAGGAGCAGCGCTCCGACGCCATTACAGGCCACAGTCGTCACTGTCACGAAGGAAGCTAAGCTAAAAACACTGGAAATGAGCCTGAAATCAGCGGTTAGCGCCGCTACACGGAGGCGTTCCCTGATGTTCCGTGATTAAGAACCGGAGCAGCTGTTCCTTCTCCTCAACAAATGAAGAACCTCGATCTGCCAACATGAGATTCCTGGGACCAGAACAGTGTGACGAAGGGTCAGGGGTCAGGGGTCAACTCTGATCTAATGTGGGAAAAACCACGATTCACAACAAATGACTATTTTTACCCCACGGGAATTCCGACTTAGTTAAATTCCAAGTTATTTATTCTGTTAATTCCAGACCCCCCCTGCCCCCCCACTCCACTCCCCCTCATAAAGACGTGTTGTGTTCAAGGTCACGTTGGACAAGGACAGTGTTCAAATCCTGAACTTCAACAGAACTGAATCAGCAGAAGAATTAAAGTAGCAGTGACGTCATAATCAGTTCCAAAGTTTCCTCACTTTTTCCCACAGATTTTAACAGTTCTGAAAAAGTAAAGTTAATTATTAATTACATCTGAAATTCATATGTTTCGTGATTTCCGGTTAGAAACAGTATAATTAATACATTTTATTGATACTTAATCAGATTCCATTGATCACTTTTAACTGATCGAATTGGTTTATTATGTTTATGAAGTTAAATCAATGTCAACGATATCCCCCACGGAGAATCCCGGTCCATCAAGATCACGATCACTAGTCGGATTAAAACTGTTGTTAATCCCGACCTTGAGACTAAAATCTGGAGTTGATCCTGATCCCGGTTTTGCCACAGACCCAGGAAGTTTAGTCTCTTCCTGTCGTCGTGGTTTTGACCGTTAAACACCGACAACGATCTCCTTTTCTTCCATAAACCGACAACTTTGTCGTGTAAACAGCCCGGAGTCGTTAAAGGTGCGTTTAAAACGGTCGGACACTTCAGTTACTTCCTGCGCTCTCTCTCGGATCTCGGCACTTACATGAGATCGGGTCTGTGTCTGTGGATGAGGGCGCAGAACGCCAGTCCGTCCCTGAACGACGTGGTCATGTTGGTGATGGAAACGTCCCGGTATCCCTCACACCGGATCCGGCACCACTGCTGCAGCGCTTTCACGGCCGACATCCCGGAGCTCGGAGAACGGACACTGCGGAGGAATCACCGAACTGCCGCCTCCTCCTGCTGCCGCCTCCTGCTGCCGCCTCCTGCTGCTGCGTCTCCCAGAACGGACACTGCGGAGGAATCACCGAGCTGCCGCCTCCTGCTGCTGCCTCCTGCTGCTGCTGCCGCCTCCTGTCGCCTCCTCCTGCTGCTGCTGCTGCTGCTGCTTCTTTCTCCTCCGACTTCACTCAGCAGCAACAGAAGTTCATGAAGTTCCAGATCAGTCCGGACACGTTGGTTCCTGACACTGACACTGAGCAGAGGTGTGTCGGAGTGCGGGTGAGTGCGGGTAAGCCCCCCCCCCCCCGGCCCCCCCAGACGAAAGGAGGTGGGAAAACCTGGGTGACGTTGCAGGGAAGCAGAGACTTTTTCCCCCCGTGTTTTGTTTCGTTTTCACTGTGGTCGTGTGTGGAGTGAGAATTCCTGTAAAGGAACACGATTTCCTGTCAATCCTGATGTGATGATGATGGTGGGAATTCTGAATAAATTATTTATTTATTTTTTTTTTAGGTTTCTTTCCGTCTCGTAAAAAAACATTCAATGTAAAGTTGCTTTATTTTAACTTGTACTTAGGCCGTGACTTTATGATAAAACCAAACAGGAAGTAGCTGTCAGTCAAAGTTGTTGTTGTGTTTTAAAAGCAACAACAGGTTCAAGTGTCAACACGTGGTCAATATTCATATAAAAGTAAAAATGTATTTTATTCTATTTATTTTTAGTTATTTTAAAATGACTAACATTGTGAAATTATTATTTTCTTCAATTGTTTGTTTGTTGTTTGACTTCCTTCAGTGAGTCGCCCCCTGTAGGCTGATCCTGCTCCTCCCCCCACCACTCACTTCAGAAACCGAGGACGATGTTTGGTGGTAGGTGTTCCCCTGTTGACGTTCCACCACAGTCAGTGTCTATTTACAGGCCTGTGACGGTGGAGGGATGACGTCAGCGTCGACTGGAGCAGGTTTGGTCGGTGCGTCCTGTCCTGTCCTGTCCTGTCCGTGTGGGCGGAGCTTGTATTGTGAAGTCACCTGACACCTGCACATGTGGTGCTGAGCGACAACACAACAAGGAGACCGGCTGCTGTCGATAGATCCAAGAATAATAGACTGTATCTACCCAGGGACTCACACTGGAGCTGCTCTATGAGAACCAGCAGAAACTTTTCTTAAAGCTCCGTCCTGATTGGCTGTCTCAGAAAATAGAATAGACGGCAGTCACGGATATTGTCCATAACAGTGGTTCTCAATGGGGGGGGGGGGGGGGGGCGTTGACCATAGTCCTACAAAAGGCTACACAAAAAGTCCAGGAACCACTGGTTTGTGTCCGGCCTCCTGTGCTGTAACGATGTTATTCCATCCTTCGTTTCCTCTAAACGGGATCATAATTTATTGAATTTACTTAAAAACCTTTGACTCTCCAGGTTACTTATTTCCCATGATCCAACATGTTGTCAGTGTGGGTCAATGTTGGTCAACATTCCTCCTGATTTCCTTCCTGACTTTAAATAAAGTATTATCTGTGACCACTACGGTGGTGCAGTGGTTGGATCCTCGCCGGCCAAGCAGAATATCTCCAGTTAGATTTCTCCCTAAACTCCATTGTTTTTTGTGTTTTGTGTTTTTTGTCGGGTCTTAGACCCAGTTTTCTTCTTGCGTCGGAGAATCTGTTCCTGTGAAGTCACATTGTGTCTCTCTCCACAAGCGCAGCATTCAAACGCCCCACACCGAAAATATTTAATCCTCCCAAATCCAGACAGGAAATGCCCTT